ACTTAAAAAATTATAATATTAAATAAATTATATACTAAGCAAGATCACCATTCTTGACACTAAGCAAATCTCTGTAGTTCAGAGAAATGAAGTAATCAATCATGTCTCAATTGTTGCTTCTCTTACAAGAACTCAAAGAAGGAACAGACAAATCCAAGTGAGTCAGCACTCAGCTAGAACCTTCTCTGAGGAAATAAAACATGCTTAACGATGAAGCTGTCAAATCTTCAGATCAGTCCAGTGGTGAGCAGCTGTTTTCCAAATGTAATACAATTTTTCACTAACTAGAAAGATGTGCTCTTGAATTAAAAGGAAAATGAAGCATATTTCAAAGATGAAGAAAATAATGACGCTCACTGACTACTTTTGTATCTGTGTGTGAACACTGCCAAGCAGGCATTCCAAACCCAACTTTGTTCATTGCTATGTGTATATGTGTAAAAAATAGAAAATTTTACTCACATTATTTTACAAATAATAGGAAATGACTTTGTTTAAAGTTGGTTTAAATATTACCACTTACATTTTAATTTGAAAATGATAAGTTCATGAAGAGTTCAAGGGCAGGAAGAGTTCAACAGCAGTCAAATTTAACATGTTACCAAAATCTTTCAAGCTCAAGAGATGTTAATCAGTGAGGTTTTACCTTAATAATCTTTACATGCAGATTATTTAAGTACTGAGAAGATATACACCTACCTTTTATTCTACTTTTAGTGTCTGATTGTACAGTTTTCAGTTTGCCTAAAATCAAAACAGAAACATAAAAATGGGCACACAAGAAGACGAGACTACAGGACAACTTATCAACTTAAACCATTTGTTGTACCTTTCATTTTCTGTGGCAATTCACTTTTTTCAATCTCCTCTGAATCACTGCTTTCAATATACTGAACAGCAATTTTTCTTCTGAAATTAAGACCCAAAATAAAATATAGCAACATTTTAAATAAATGCAATACAGATGTTTTTTAAATCTCTATTTGCTTTTTAAACTTTTTCCAAAGGAAGTATTTTATTTGACAAATCAAAGTCAAATATGCTAAAAGCATTCTGCTTTCCTGACCAGACAGCTGCATTTATAAAACCTAGTACCAACTACCATTAAATTTGAAAAGTTAAATCATTCAACTACTGTGTTCAATATTTAGTAGTTCAACAAAAACATTTATATAAAATTAGAACCAAAACAAATTGACAGTGGGGAAGGCGGTAGATACCCTGACTACTAGAGTCTCCAGGAAGTGAAGCACCAGGGTACTGCGAGAGTAGCTGTCCTTTGAGGGAAATGGTGCCAGAAAACACGCGCAAAGAAAGGAAGACGTTAATAGAACTGGACTATCTAGACTTGATTCTAAAATGCTAGGGAACCAAATGGGGACGGGAGGAGTGAGAACGACTTCGTTCAGAGGAGGGGACCTCAGCTTAGACAGAGAACCTCAGAAAAGTCACACCCAGACTCAGTTCAAGAAAATTATAAGCAGAAAGAGAAGGGAGGGAGGGAAGATAGGAAGCTACCTGTACAGCCAGGTCCTCTGGCAGAGGAGGTGGAGCAAAAAACCAAAACAAAACAAAAAAATCAAACTCAAAACACAACCATCATCAGACATATCACAAAGATTTACAGTTCAACCAGACAAGAATTTGGTACATACTCCATCTAGGTGTGTATTAGCTCAGTATTTGACTGGGGCAGAGGTAACAAGCCATTTAGAGAAGACCATGCAGAGTCAGCAGCTAGCTAAGCAGATCTAGAGGCAAAGCTTTCTCTCTACATTAACCAAGGCAAGTGTGAGGGGAGTATTCTGAGTCCTAGCATGCAGAATCCCTCTAACTAGAGGGGGATACCACAGTGTTCTAGGTGGTCAAAACCTGGTCTGTGTTAGGAGTAGAGTAAGATTCACTACTGCCCCAGAAGTAGGACAACTTAGTGGCAAGTGCTTCAAGGTGAACTAGGGTACGGATCAGTGGAAAACTTGCTGACAGTCTTTTCCAGAAGCTAGACAATAAAAGACATTTCTATAGTTAGAAAGCCCACAAAGCACGCCCTCTGGATACAGGTCAAACACCACAAAGATCAACCAACACAGAAAGCATAGTATCACAGAGTTTCTGCTATTACCAGAAAACACTAACCTAAATAGAAAAGGAAACAAACAGAAATGCAGAGTTGGGATGGGTACCTGAATTCAGGCAAGTGATGGTACAGACCTACTCTTTATCTACACTCAGGTATGTGACCACATGGAGAAAATCCACACCTGCAATACATACAAGTGATCGTGTGAGACAGTTTGCACCTACACATAGGTAAGTGATCACAAATAAAAAGTCTACCAGTAAGCACACACAAAAGACCTCACCCAGATAGTCTATACCTGAACTAGGGCAGTAAAATGTCCCTCACCCTGAGTGATACTCTGTACTTACACAGCCACACAGCCTGCATCTGCACACAGTGACTGATTCATAAAGACGGCACTCAGGGTGAGTGACTACATGGAGATAAAATTTAACAGTCAATTTAATTTTATAGATCATTATGTCCTACAATGTTATATCTGACTCATTTTTTCTCTTAAGACAGGCTTTCCCAGCACCATGGAGATGACTCAATGGCTAAAATACTTGTCACGTAAGTATGAAGGCTTAAGTCTGAGTGTCCAGCATCCATGAATAAAAAAGCCAAGTGCAGCAGTGGGGAGGCACAAACAGGAGGATCCCTGGGGCTTGCTGGTCAGCCAGTCCAGCTCAATGGGTTAGCTCCAGGTTCAGTGAGAAACCCAGCCTCAAATAATAAGATGGAGATTTCAAGGTCTGCACAAGGGTGGCCATGTCAACCGTCAGTCATAAAGGGGGAAGGGGCTCATGGTACCCTAATCCTTTCTGCTGAACTAATGGATACCTACAGATTTGGGATGAGGGAAAGTCAATGTTTTCAGTTGTGTATTGCCCCACTTGTGAACCCACCAGGCTCCAATGGATAGTTCCAAACCCATGGTCATACTGATGGCCCTGTATAAACTCAGTGTGTCACAAAACAAAACAAAAAGAAATGTGGGAAAGGGATATGTAGGGAAGTGGGGTACTGAAAGGACTGTGAGAGAGAAAAAATGTGGGAGGGGATAAGAGTAATCAGAATGCATTATATACATGTATGAACTGTCAATGAACACATTTAATTAACTTCTTTTTTTTTTTTTAGAAGAAGCATTTCATTACAGCTTTAACATACTCAGTAACAGTTTCCAGAGCAAAGATACATCGCTTTCAAAAGTGGCTATAAAAGTTTTAGGTTCACTGTTGAATTAATACAGTTATACAATATTGAACTCAGTATAAGCCCTGTAAGACATAAAATTGAATGAATTTTTAACCTT